AGTTGGTCATGCATCCAAATGCGGTCATTACTTATTTTATCAGAGACATATTAATAACAACTGGGATGGCTTCATTGGGATAAAATTCACAAGCACTCCACATAAAAATTGCATCCCCTCTTCGTTCACCGGCCATGTGACATGCAATGTCAAGGAAAATGAAGAGATCTGGCCCTCTGCAATGTTGGGGAGTAATAGAGGTGATCGGTGAAATAAAGGTGAGTGTCTGACCCTCTGAAATTCAAGAACACCTCAAATTCAGATCTCAGTGACTCATCACTTCCACTCGTCGAGGACGTTGCTGTGTCCAAGTCCCTTTTTCTCTTCATCGTCACCAACGCCATTTGCTGAGTTGAACTACTTCTGGTGTTTACGATTCTTCCTAGTCTGATCAGCAATTCCTGGAGAGGATTGTCGTTTGTGAAAGAGCTAAAGAGTAGTAAATTACGCGAGCTAGCAGTACGTCAGAGAAAGACTTTGAATCTTGGGGGGACATATATATCCATACACATCCCTGAATCCACCTAAAATCTCGTAGCCTATCCGATGTCGTTTGTCTGGACTGGTATGTACTTTTCATGATTTACTTTTTTATTATCCAAAAAGGGGCGGATTAAATGTGACGCCATTGAATTTTTCCCCCTTTTCTTGTTTAGAATTGGACAGATCATTTGTTTCTCCATTTAACTTTTCTTTTCCTTTCTTAGTTAGTGATGGCCTTAACTTACTAAATCAGTTGCCTTCTCTTGGTGTAAGATTATTGTGATTCAGACGCCACCGTCGTTCCTAGTAATGACAGTGGCTGTGATGCCATCACTCTCTCCTGGCAAAACTCAAGAACACCTTATCCAAAAAATTTCACCGAGTCATCGGGTCAACCCTCTTGGGCGTGCTGCGAGTTTTTCTTTCACCTCATAAACAAAAGAAGGCTCACAAAAGAAGAACAAAGAAAGAACAACCACCAAGCATTTCAGTATTGACAATAGATTTTAGCTCAACCAATCCGGCCAAGCTACATCGTCATCATTGTAATATGGTTTTGTTTATTTGTCTATACATGCGTCGTGATGCTGTGTGCTCCACTTGATTTTGGTTGTCACTACCCCACCTGTCCACTGATTTCGCTGTGATTGAGATGGGTCACCAATGTTTAACTCCTAACACCACATTAATGTCCCTCTTATTCACAAATAACGCGTCCTTTCATGCGAAGTAACCTAGACATTTCCTAGAAACTTAGAAGACACTTCGAACATCTATCTTCTAATAAAATCCTATGTGACTTTAGTCCTTTGTTTAACCTTTTTTTCACCAACTAATGGTTTGCTAATTTTCCAATGATGTCCCGCCAAAGTATGAGTTCAATTGTGTATTTCTATATAATATAAAAATTCATAGTAGAACACATAAATCGATATGTAAGTCATAGCGCATTCTCCTCGTCTTTTCTCTCGCTAGCATCCTAGCACTAGGAGTGTCTTCTAATAGAGTTTCTTGGTAGTGTTTTCAAGCTTAATGACAACGCGGTTCAATATTTAATTATTTCATCTCTTAATTTGTTTCTATCATCATATTGACAGTTCCCCTTAAAACACAGTAATCATCTTTTTTCTGTTTCTACCTTCTTCCCAGTTTCTGCTATGGACGAATTCATCCAATTTTTGTTGCAAAGTGATGTGGATTTAAAGGCGTATTTCGGGTTCGGTTTTACTGTAGGAATAACTTGAATGATCACTGTGTTGAAGGAGTTCCCTGAACCGGTTCATGAAATTTTGAGTGTCAATTTCCTAGTGAAAGGACGAGAAAAATGTCAGTTTGAAATCTCGATTGACACTAACTTAAGGCAGAGGGCATTTGCTTTCTCTTTGGTATTGTCGAAGAAATTGTTCGCAGGTTGTTTCCGAGGATGGGTGGCAAAGTCTGAAATTGACACCTAAATATTTTTTCCAAGCCAAGTTGACTTCTTTTTTGCAGGCGGTGCGGATGACGCCATTGTTTATTTCCCCTACGAAAGGATTGTGCTTGAGACAACAATATGACTAGAAAAACGCGTTCCTGGGATTATTTTAAGACCGCGGATTTTGACATTGATTCCATCACCAGAAGCTCTATAGTAGATTAATTGATACGAAAATGTCATATTACTAACCCCCACAAAGCCATGAGAGTTAAATTAGAAAGTCATCAAGGAGCTTAGAATGACGGTCCAGTCATCACCGGCCGTCCTACGTGGTGCACTATCGAGTTAGTGATTTCTTGCAAAAATTGACCGGAAGGACTATATTAAAATTTTGCGCAAAGACTTAGAGCTAAATTGGCAAAATTGAAAAGTTTAAAACTGAATTAGCATCCATTCAATAGGTTTAAGACTGATTGGATAGTTTCCCCACATTAGACGATTGACAAGGCACACCGCAAATTCTTCCTATAGAAAAGCTTGGGACCGTAAACCGGGCCTTATATAGAACATAATATACATTATTTGGAATTTGTGTATGAGAAGAAAAAAGTGATCACTTTTACTATAAGTTCCGCGTAGTAAAGTGCAAGGGTTTAAAGTATAGGGTTTAACGTACAAGAGAGGATATAAACCCAATTATGGACTTGATTCATGAGGCAGAATCTTTCATTTGATAATATACAAACTACATGTCTCCTTATTAACAACAGGCAAAATTTCCAATGAGTCGCAAGAATATAAACCCAAATTTGTCAAGTTCTGCAAGCTCGAAAGATCCGGTAGCTCTTTTAAAGACAGGCAACGAAAAATAGATAATTTTTCCAGTGATTTTGATTGTTCGAGCCCTTGAATCTCAACTAGCCGTGGGCACTGATTAACACTCAAACCCCATGGCTTTCTTATGCTCGGTAAATGGGATAGCCTCTCAAGGAATTGACACTCCGATACATCCAAATGGCAAAGGTTCTCTAGCTGTCCAAGCACATCCAATGGAATTTCGGTTAAGCAAGACCTGTATATTCCCAAATTGGACAAATATTTGAAGGTGTGAAGGCATGACAATCCATCTGTGGACTGAAGATCATATAACCTCAACAAATCAATTTCGGGTGGGATCCACTTGAGAGATTGAAAGGTGGAGACTGGCAAGTGGAGATATTTGAGCTCGGTAAGGGTATTTGTAAAGTCAGCAGGCAACGTGGTCATGTCAGCAAGGTCCAATTTCAGCGACCGCAACTTAGTTAACCTACCAATACACTGCAAATCTTGAGCTTGGCAAGCGTTTGGTGGTGCATGAGGCATATTGGCATATCTAGGACGACCATAATCAGATAAATACAGATATTCTAAGTTGGTCAGGTTTGACAGATTCGAAATCCCTGGTATTGCTGAAGACATAATGCTCAAAGATTCCAAACTTGTAGGAAGCTCTGGCAGTTGTTGAAGCTCCTCACAACTATGCAACCACAAACTCATAAGTTGAGAAAGCTGACTAATACTTGGTGGCACTTCAGAAATTTGGCCTCCACCTAAAATTAGGTCTTTCAAAGATGATAATGCCCAAATTTCAATCGGAATTTCTCCCTCCAAAAACACGCAATCGCTAGCTCCTAAATATTCAAGCTTCTCCAACATCCCTATTGCCTTAGGTAGCTTTCTTAATTTACAACTTTCCATGTTTAGAATCTCTAATCTCTTAAGCTCTCCGATCGAATTAGGCAGCTCTATAATGTCCGTATAAGATATATCCAACATGAATAGAGATTTTAGTTTCCCAATCGACTCTGGAAGTTTATTTACCAGTGATTCACTTAAAGATAACACTTGAAGACCAGCTAACTCTCCTATTGAATCCGGAAGTTCAAGGAGTTCTAGATTTTCCAACCATAGCGTCGATAGATGCTTTAGATTACCCAATGAGTTTGGCAATAATTGACTTGCCATGCCTAGATTGAGCGTTGTTGGAGCTCCTTCAAGCACCCTCAAATCACTGCCCCCCTTAATTTTCAAGTGCTTCAAATACTGCAGCATAATAATGGATGGGTCAATTTCAACCCGCCTATCACAATCCTTCATGACGAGTCTCTCCAAAGTCAAGCATGTAGAGAAGTTAGGCGTCTTGGTCAACCTTCTACAACGCATGAGATGCAGAACTTTTAATCTACTTTCTCCCTGTAAAATTACTCATACAAGAATAGTTATAAAGATGGTCAAATTTAATATGCACATAGGAAAAGAGTAGATGTAAATTGCTTGTATTATATGATATCGTACCATGATTTGGCTCCATCCACCCCAATCATCTGTAATGTCAGATTCTGAAATTTTGAGGACAACTAGATTGCTTGGAGAGAAGTTAGTAGCTTGAAACTCTGAAAGACAATTTTGCCAAGAAAACCATCTTAGCTCTGAGAGGAGATTTTGGAAGTCCCCTACAAAGTTTCCCCCATCCAATTCAAGGAACCTTAACTCTACCAGCCTTGAAATGTCTTCGCTTGTGATATTGCACACTTGAGATTGTCCCCCTAGTTTGAGGGCTACTATGTTTTTGGTTCCCTAGTAAAGGAAATTATTTCTCAATTAGCCTGAGCTTTGGTGAACATAAGAAAAAGGCCCATGAATTCAACAAAAAATATTTCTTTTCCTTTGATAAAAGGCAGGGAGGCGAAATAATGTAGCTACCTCTCTGGACATTGGCATAAGGATCTCACGCCCTCTATGTAATATCTGGTTTGAGTCATAGTTATAGAGTACACCCGCAGGTGTACGAGCACATCATGATAGCAAATGCCCAATGCACAAGCCAGCAAGGGTTTGCTTACGATATGATTCGAACTTGTGCCCTTATGAAAGATAATGTGACCACTTTACTATTGAGCTACCATACTCTGCAGTAATTTAACACAATACTGACCTACTCTATTTCTACACAAAGGGAAAAGTAGAACTTTAATCAATACGTACCTCTTTCTTTCGTATAACATTCATGGCTACGGTGGTACACCATATTCTACTATGCTCTCCAGGATGTTTGATGCTCTCACGACGAACAAGTTCTCTCCCTAAGTCTCTGAGTTGGTCATGCATCCAAATGCGGTCATTCTTTATTTTTATCAGAGACTTATTAATAAGAACTGGGATGGCTTCATTGGGATAAAATTTACAAGCACTCCACATATAAATTGCATCCCTTATTCCTTCACCAGCCATGTGACATGCAATGTCAAGGAAAATTTCTTTCTGCTCATATTCCAACATGTCATAACTTGCCTTCAATACCTCCTGAACTTCTTTGTGAGGCCTTTCCTTCAGCTTCGTTAATACATCATCCCATACTGCTTCACTCTTGCCGTAAAGTGAGGATCCGATGACGACAAGTGCCAGCGGAAGTCTGCCAGTGTTATTCACAATTTCTCTCATTATTCTACCATATTCATAAGGAGGAGCCTCGCTCTCAAAAGCATGTCGACTGAAGAGTTGAATAGCATGATACTCACGCATCTCCTTCATTTCGTAGAAGTGATACACTTTAGGATGCAATGAGGCATTATTCTTGTTAATTTCGAAAATACTGATGTCCCTAGTCGTCACAATAATTCTACTTCCTGGACCGAACCATCCGCACTTTGCTAGCTTCACAAGCTGGTCCCTTCTATCCAAATTATCAAGAACAATAAGCACTTTCTTGTGGCGACATCTTTCTCTAATCATGTTGATTCCAAAGTCGGTATTAGGAGCCTTTATGGATTTAGACTTCAGGATGTCAGATAATAATCTGTTTTGCAATTTCAGAATTTTACCCTGTTGTGATAGTTCTCGAATGTCTGACAGGAAGCTGCAACCATCAAATTGAGAAGCGATTTGGTTGAAAATAACGTTGGCAAGAGTTGTCTTACCAATTCCCCCCATTCCATGTATTGCGACAAACCGTACATTGAGAGAGTCTTTGCCTAACATATACATCACTTTTCGCACATGATGATCGATTCCAACCAAATGATGAGGCACTACTCGAACTCCTCTAGCCAATCTCATCCAAACCTCCTCGGTAATAAGTTTTATAAGTTCCCCTTGCCTGCCATACAAGAAATTGAGATTGAGTAACAACATAAGGGACATCAAGTTCCACGATAATCTGAATGTGAAATCGGAGTTCACAACAGTGGCAGAAATGGAAAATTTTAGTAAGCGGCCGAAGCAAATTAAGGCCAAGATATCTATTTTAAACACACACATGCATTGTATCCTTTTACAATGAAAAAGGAACATAATTACGCACACAGAAAGAGAGAACAAGATTGCTAGCAAAGCTACCAAGTTAAAAACACAACCAAGAAGTTAACGCCCACGGCATGGAATCTTGAACCCGAAAAATGACAACACAATCACGACAAAATAACCACACTGAAATACACTGTCATCCTTGACTAATGCAAGCATCGCGTTTATGCTGTGAATAAAACGAATTCATGGAAATTTAAACCACCTAAAAGTAAATATTGAATTAGTCATAACACCTTTTCATTGCGTACTCGGAGTAGGATACAACTTTGTCTTTTATGGATGTGTTTGTTTTGCAAAAAATAATCGATTAGAAAAATCTTATTTTCTAAAAATATTTGTTAGTACATATCACTTAGAAAGATTAGTTGGCGGACAATATATTCATTATCAATGGTTATCCATGTCTGAAATTTTTTTCATTGATGATAAAATTATTTTCTATTGACTCATGTCCATTAGCCATCGTAACAATATTTCTAAGAAAATATTTTCTAAATCAAAATAAACATACGAGTATTTCCTAGATATTTCAAAAATTGTACTAATCATAGTCCCTATCACAGTCGTTGATCACTTTGTAGCTAATAGTTTTACATAAATATCAACTCCAGGAAATCAGAAAAAAAAAATTCTCGTTTCTTTGGGAAGATATGCAAGAGGAGTGAATTATATAGCCTTAGTGAAAAGCTCTCGAAACTCTCTTACCGTCTATCTTTGCAGTCCCATCCATCGATCGAAGCGACCTCTATTAGAGCCTCCTTCCATGGTTGAACTTTATCGAAGCCAAACCTGTCCTCATGCCCTTTCAAGGCATCAACGTATAATCCAGTTCTGAGCTTAACATCGGAAGGATCGACATCAAAGAAAATGGGAAGAATCACTTTGTCCATTGATCTTCTCCAGCATTCCACCATGTGAGTGAGCTCGCGAAGACACCATGCACTAGATGCATAGTCTCTGGAGAAGATGGGCACGTAAATTCTGGAGACATTGATAGCATGTTGAAGCTCACCTCCAATCTTTTCACCTTTTTGGATCTCTTCGTTGTCTATGAAGACGCGAATTCCAGCTCCATCCAGGGAGTGATAGAGGTGATCGGTAAAATTAAGGCGAGTGTCTGGTCCTCTGAAATTCAAGAACACGTCAAATTCAGCTCCCAGTGACTCGTTACCTCCACTCGTCGACGAGGACGGTGCTGTGTCCGAGTCCCTTTTTCTCTTCATCGTCACCAACGCCATTTGCTGAGTCGAACAATTTCTCGTGTTTACAATCCGTCGTAGTCTGATCAGAGCGATTCCTGGAGAGGATGTCGTTTGTTATAGAGCTATAAATCATGCGTGGTAATAGTACGTCAGAGAAAAAATTTGAATCTAAGTGGGACTAGATTCCTAAAGAAAATAATAGCAAATCACGTGCTGACAAAAGAAGATAAAGTTCTGTTAACATAAGAAGACAATCAGAACGAAAAGGAAAGTTGAGGTAATGCCCACATAGGATGTTTGAGAGACATAATTAACAGCAATCAATTATGTAATCCTAGAATTAATAAGAAAAGACTTAAATCAGATTTGACAATTATTTGGTCGAGATTCTTTATAAACATGCCACTTCTTTTTTTAGATATTTGGAGACGGAAAAAGACAACATTATTGTTTTTAACTATTTGCGATTTTTTTACTGGTATTTTTTTCGATAATTTTTTAAGTGAATATTGTTCCATGAATCTGCAAAAAGCCCGGGCATGCAAATTCATTATGTATATTAAAGTGAGTTTGCGACATTGAAGATGATTTTTATTTTGCCCCATCTGAATGTTTTTTTTTTTGTCGAAGCCGCGTCTGAATGTTAGAAAAAGGCAATAAAAGGCGAATAAGGAAAGTCTTTTGGGTATATTAATGACAATTGAAATGTACCATCTTCCACTATGGGAATCTGGTAAATGTAAAAGGAGGATAAGGAGAAACTCCAACAAAAAAAGAAGAATATTTGTAGGTAAAAAGTCCATATTACTAATAGTTGATTATGTTTGAGCTATGGATTCTTGATATTGTTTGTAAAGTTGATCGGTTATAACGTCAATCGGACGTAAAGTGAAAAACTTGGGGTCAATAACCTAATCATGTCCACCTACAGTAAAGAGACACAAACCGATATTTGTCTCATAACGCATTCTCCGATTTTTTTTATCCCCAGCCATTTATTCATGCCTGTAATTAAGATAATATCTTCCTTTTCTTTTCTTTGGACTAATTTCCAAAAGAAGCACTAATTTTATCTTGAGTGATAATTCTGACACGAAATTTTTTTTGTCTCGATAAAAAGCACTAACTTTTACTCGAATCCCAAATCTGGCTCCCGTGATGTGAAATTTTCAAATTGTTCTGGCCATATTTGAGATTTAAATAAAAGTTATTGATTTTTTATTAGACAAAAAAGAGTTCGTGTCAAAATTATCGCTCAAGGTAAAATTGATGCTTATTTTTGGAATTAACCCTCTCTTCTTTTACTTTTTATATTCCCATCTGGGTAAAATTAAGACATCTTATATTTTAAACAACCAAAAAAAAATTAATATATAACATCCCCAAACTTTCTGTCATCTCACATTAGCATTCTCTACCTTCACTTCGTACCTTGGGAGTCGAGCAATTATAGAAGATGGAGGGCGTAACTTGAAGTTTTGCTTTTGAAAAAATTTCTTAATGTAAAATTTGTGGTTTCGATCGTGGAATTGCTTCATAATTTAGAATAACAATTTCGAGGCAAAACTCAAGAAGACCTCATCGAAAAAACTTTCACCGGGTCATCGGGTCCAAAGAAGAACAGACAAAGAACAACCACCGAGTAATTAAATATTGACGATATAATTTAGTTCGACCGATCCAGCCAAGCTACTCCGTCATCATTGCCCTAGAGTTCGGCTCTGTTTATTTGTCCATACATGGGTCGTGATTTCATGTGCTCCATTTGATTTTGGTTGTCGCTATCCCATCTGTCCGCTGGTCTCACTGTAATTAAGGTGGGTAATCCAACGTTTAACTCCTAAGCCCCACATTGATATCCTTCTTATTTTCAATTAATGTTGCTTTTCTGGAGAAATGACCTGGACATTTCCTAGAAACTTAGAAGACACGGCAAACATTTGTCTTGTTTTAAAAACCTATGCGTCCTTAGTCCTTTGTTTAACCTTTTTTTCACCGACTAATTAGTTTGTTAATTTTCTCGTTATGATTGCCAAATAGATCATGACTATACGATAAAAAAAAAAAGCAACATCAATGACACTAATCTCATGGAATGCTGCTGGTGATTTCCCGCCAAAGAATGAGTTTGATTGTTTATTTCAAAATGATATAATGATAAAACAACTCATAGAAGAATACATAAAATGATACGTGAGTCAGAACACATTCTGGTCTTATCTTTTCTGTCGCTAGCATCCGAACACTAGGAGCGTCTTCCAATAGAGTTTCTTGGTAGTGCTATCAAGCCTCGTTTGTTTTTACCGTATCAACGGTTGTGCTTAAAACCCGGTAATCATCTTTTTTCGTTCCTTCTCATGTGCAATCCGCTTGAAATCGCATCAAGCGTGTCTCATACTGGTAATAAACTAATCAGTTTCTACTACGGACGAATTCATCCAGCTTTCGTTGCAAAGTGATGTGGTATTAGTATTACATAGGCAAATTCCAGGTTCGGTTCTACTGAGGAAATGACTCGAATGAGCACAGCGTTCAAGGGATACCCTGAGCCGGTTCATGAAAATTTGCGTGTGAATTTATTAGGGAAAGGAAAAGAAAAGTGTCAGTTTGAAATGTCGACCGAAACTAACTCAAGGCAGAGGCCATTTGCTTTCTCTTCGGTGCTGTCTAAAAGAATAGGCTGGCGTGTGCTATTCTTCTTAGTTCGATCAGCGATTCCTGGAGAGGACGTCGTTTGCAGTGAAGTAAATCACTTCTGCTTTTCTTTTTCGTGGCATCATCGTCTTGGCACTTTTTACTATCCCGAAGAAAATGATAGCAATCACGCGTGCCAACAAACAGTACGTCAGAGAAAGACTTTTGAGTCTAGGAGGGGACAAGCATCCCAACTTTTCAAGGAAAAATTTCAAAGAAGGGATAAAATATATCGCCCACCAACACGGACCCGGATTTTGTGTGTGGAACGATTTTCCCACTTTGAGGGCAATTTATCAAGATTATCGACAGAAAAATAATATTAAACAAATTAAAAATTTAAAAATTATATTATATATTAAATTAAAATTTATAAATTACAGTGAATAAATTAAAAATTTTAAAAATATATTACATATTATATTAAAATTTAAAAATTATTTGTGTCATTATCTATACTTGAAAAAGCAAAACCTTTTGTATTGGGCCATGACTTTCAAGTTTTGTAGTTGGATTTCCTGGACAGCATCGCCCTTATTGGCGCCGCGTGTATTTGCAATTTGATTTTGTCTTTGTAAATCCCGAGACTCTTTTTGCAGTCCGTTTCACAACATTTTATCCGGTGAGATGCTTTCGGAATGTCGTCAATTTGAGAAATACTTTCAGAACTCGCTCGTCCTTTCGCCGGGTCATCGGGTCAACCCTCTTGGAAGTTCTGCCAGCTTTTCTTTCACCTCATAAACAAAAGAAGGCTCACAAAAGAAGGACGAAGAAAGAACAGCCACCAAGCATTTCAGTATTGACAACAATTTAAAGCTCAATCAATCCGGCCAAGCCACATCATCATCATTGTAATATAGTTCATCTTCAAATTCAGCTCCCAGTGACTCACTACCTCCACCCGTTGACGACGCTGATGCTGTGTTCGAGTCCCTTTTTCTCTTCATCGTCACCATCGCCATTTGCTGAGTTGAACTACTTCTGGTGTGTGTGATTCTTCCTTAGTTTGATCAGCGATTCCAGGAGAGGATGTCGTTTGTACTGTAGTAAACCACTTTGGACTTTTCTTTTCGTGGTATCGCCTTGGCACCTTTTACATATCCCAAAGAAAATAACGGCAATCACGCGCGCAAACAGTACAGAGAAAGACTTTGAGTCGTGGTGGGACAAGCATCCCAACTTTTCCAGGAGATATACCAACACGGACCCGGATTTTACGGGCAACGTTTTTCACACTTTAAAGGTAATTTCTCGGGTACACTATCAGCCAGAGGGAACTTCTTGATAGCCAAAAAAAGAAAATGTAACGTGAATGGCTCAGTAAAGATTGACCGTGCTCCGTAAACGCCATCACACGTTCACAACGTTCTCTTTCGAGCGTGTAACCGAGAAACTCTCTCATGCAGAGGGGTCTAAGCTTATTCTACGTGTGTGTCTGCGTGTCTTGTAACATGGTCTTTTGAATTTACCAATGTAATTAAGTAAGGTATATTTCAAAATATATACATGTGTAATCTACTCGTGATTATCTTTGTTGTTATTTTAATTTCTTACCAATTATTGTAGTTATAAATTATAAAGATTTCTATGAGTTTATCATCATAATATTGTTAGTTTCAGAATAACCTATACTGGTATCATCCTTGTTGTAATACTGAATCTCTGTCTACGTACTTTGGCTCACACTATCACGTGATGGAGAACCGAAAAAACACAAAAATAAAACAAAAAGATAAAATTGTGTCAACAAGTAAGACATTTAGAACAAAAAGGAAAGTTGAGCTAGGTCTTTTGGTCGTGAAAGAAATTAAAAAAAAACGGTAAGTTTAAACTCTTTCCATAACTTCCTCAATTGGGTAGAGGGTATTATTGTCCTTGTAATATTTAAGAATATTCATGGAGTTTGTGAATGAGCTTTAAGGGAAAATTATAGTCTAACCCAAACATGGAATTTGAGAAAGTTTTGGACAATATCTTATTTTGTACAACAAATGAGGTGATGCCTGATGCTTGAGAAACACAATAATAATTAGTTATGTAATCCTAGAATTGATAAGAAGAGACTTATTATGTACTTTCTTCCACTATTCGAATGTGACATATGTAAAAGGTGGATACGGAGAATCTAAAACAAAAAAGGATAATATTTGTAGGTAAAAACTCCATATTTTTATAATTATCTATGCAAATGTGAATTCTGCGCATTACTGATAATTGATTTATTTTGGTCATTGTATCCAAATATAATCGGGCTTTGCATATTTTAATTTGTTTAAAGAATGATTAAAAAAAAAGTTGATCAGAAGGAATTTGGCTATTATAAATCAATTCAACCTAAAGGTAAAAAAAATTGTGGTTAATAACCTAATCATGTCCAGCTAAAATGAAAAGACATAAAATATTAGTTGTGTTATGATGCATTCTTCAATTTTTGTTATCTACATCCAGCTGTTCATGTCCATAATTAAGATAATCTCTTCTTCTTTTTCCTTTTCTTTTATTATTTTTATTTCCATCCAACTAAAATAAAGAGACATCATATAATTGAAACAAAAATAACATATTCCATCCCCAATTTTCTCTCATCTTACCTTAAGCACTCTCTAACTTTTATTTTCCCTCTTTTTTCTTTGCATCTCAAGACTTTTTGAAATTTCGCTTCACATCTAGGAAGTCGAGCAATTAAAAAATAATAAAGGGCGTAATTTGAAGCTATTTTAGTAAAATAAAATTATTAATGTAAATTTTGTGGTTTTGGTTATTACAATTTCCCTTATCTGTGGAATTGCTTTATTGTATGATAAAGAGACAAATTCTAGGCAGAAATCAAAAACACCTTATCCAAAAACTTTGCCGGGTCATCGGGTCAACCCTCTGGGGCGTTCAGCGAGTTTTACTTGTACCTCATAAAGAAAAGAAGGCTCACAAAAGAAGAACAAAGAAAGAACAACTACCAAGCATTTCAGCATTGACAAAAGATTTTAACTCAACCAATCCGGCCAAACTACATCGTCATCGTTGTAATATAGTTCGTCTTGTTTAATTATCTGTCTATATATGGGTTGTGATGCCGTGTGCTCCACTTGATTTTGGTTGTCACTATCCTACATGTCCACTGATCTCGTTTTGATTGAGATGGGTCACCCAATGTTTAACTCCTAAAACCCACGTCGATGTCCCTCTCATTCACAAATAATTCGTCTTTTTAGGCATTCACAAATAATTCGTCTTTTTAGGCGAAATAACCTGAACAGTTCCTAGAAACTTAGAAGACACGACAAACATCTATCTTCTTTTAAAAACCCATGCGTCCTTAGTCCTTTGTTTAACCTTTATTTCACCGACTAATTAGTTTGTTAATTTTCAGGTGATGTCCCTCTTCTTAACAAATTATGCGTCTTTTTTCGTTTCTTCTAACGTGCATTCCACTTGAAATCACATCACGCGAGTCGTGTACTGGCAGTATACTAACCAGTTTCTACCACGGACAAATTCATCTGGCTTTTGTTGCAAAGTGACCTGGATTTATGTAAGGCGTATTACGAGTTCGGTTTTACTGGGGGAATAACTTGAATGATCGCAGTGTTCAAGGAATTCCCTGAACCCGTTCATGAAAATCTGTGCGTGAATTTCTTAGGGAAAGGAAGAGAAAAATGTCAGTTTGAAATCTTGATGGAAACTAACTTGAGCAGAGGGCATTTGCTTTCTCTTTGGTGCTGTCAAGAAATTGTTCGCAGGTTGTTTTGTGGGCCGGATTGCTATCCAGATAGGATCTTCTCTAGTAATTAATGTGTGGTTCATGAGTAAATGTGTGGTTCGTGAATAGAAGAGTTTATCTTGACCAAAAAAAACAAATAGAAGAGTCTATACTCAAACCTATGAGGTAGGGAGCGATTGCTGAGCAATATGGGCCAATTCTCAAGAGGACATTAATTTTTTTAAGTGGGGTTACACCTTATTTTAGCACTGTCGCCCCAGAATCGCTTCCGTCGCTTGTCGAATCGGGTTTGGGCCTAGTTCACAAACCATACTTTAGAAAGCCACGCTCTAATAACCTTTTGTAGGAAAAATTATCCGAAAAGTCATAAATTTATTACACTTTTATCAATTCAGTCCTAAAACTTTTAATTGTGCCAATTGAGTCATAAAATTTTTCGAATTTTGCCAATTAAATCCATCCGACCAATTTTGGCCAGAATCGTTGATCTAGACGCCGGTCGTCCTACGTGGCATGACCGGCGTTGACCTGGCACTGTCTGTGCCTAAATTGCTCTAATATTTTTTTATTGAAACTTTAAATGGATCTTTCTAATTCACTCTGTCTCCTTCTTCTCCGTTTCTCTGATTCATGTTGAAGCTTCACCACTCCTCTGTAATTTTTTGTTCACGTTGAAGCTTCACGACTCCTCTGTAATTGTTTTGTTTCATGTCGAAGCTCCACGAAAATAGAGAATCGAAGTTTTTTCTCCTCTGTAGCTCTTTGGTTCACATCAAAAGTTCACGAAAGCAACAAAAGAGTCTAAAGTCATCTTTTTCGTAACTTTATAGTTTATGTTGTAAGTATCACGAAAATGGCAAGAGAGTCAAGCACTATACTTTTTGGAAAAGCGAAGGTGACTAATTATGTTTTCTCTCTTTTACTATATTTGGCGTTCGATGGCTAACCTACCTTGTCGATGTTGCTCTAACCCATTTACATCTCTTGTCATTGTTGAATCTGTGGCTGTGGATTGTTGCAATGAGCTCTTTTTCTATTTAAGACGTAGAACGTATAATAATTATGAATTGATTGATGGAGGTTGTCTTCGTTTGTGCATTTGTGGTTTTTTAGCAGTGAATCATGAGTGATTCTTACCATTTATGTTTGTGCATTTTCAGATTCATTTACATCAATATGTCGTTCATACCAAATTATGTATATGATAGGATATGGAAAGTATCCGGCTTAATACTTCAATTCACCAAATAGTGGATAAGATGTAACAAAATCCCAAGATTTTTTATATTATCATAACCAGTTCTATCCTTGCTAAAAATCAAACATAGCCTAAGTATAGCTACTTTTCAATCTCGGCACAAGGGCAAGAACGTTATGTATACACAACCTATAAATAGAGGAGATGATGCGCGAATAAAGTTGATCAAAAAGCAAAGTTCCCACCTATAACATACCTAATGGAAGCGACTTGCTCAACAAACCATTCAAATTTCTGGACTTGAATCGTTAGGCAGCATCTTGCATCTGAAAACATTCAAATGACATGTTTCCTTATTCACAATAGGCAAACATTCCAATGAGTCGCAATCTGATAAATACAACTTGCTCAAGTTCTGTAAGCTGGAAAGATCTGGTAACTCTTTTAAGGACAGACAGTAACTAATAAATAATTCTTCCAATGATTCTGATTGTTCGAGACCTTAAATCTCAATTAGCCGTGGGCACTCATAAACAGTCAAACCCATGGCTTTCTTAAGCTTGGTGAATGGGATAGTCTCTCAAGGAATTGGCATTCCAATATATGCAAAAAGCGAAGGTTCTCCAGCTGTCCAAGCACATCCAGTGGAATTTCGGTTAAGCACGACCTGCATATTTCTAGTCTATACAAACATTTGAAGGTGTGAAGGTTTGACCATCCATCTGTGGACTCAAGATCAAAGAAACCCAACCCCTGAAGTTTGGGTGGAGTCCACTCGAGAGATTGAAAGGTGGAGCCTGGTAAGTCGAGATGGCTGAGTTCCGTAAGGGTATTTGCAAAGTCAGCCGGCAACGCGGTCGTGTCTAAAGGTCCAATGTCAACGCTGACAACCTAGTTAACCTCCCAATACATTGCAAATCTTGAGCTTGGCATGCGGTTAGTGGTGCACGAGGCATATTAACATATCTACGACGACCATAATCGGATAAATGCAGAAAACTTAAGTTGGTCAGGTTTGACAGATCCGGTATCCTCTGTAATGTTGATGACGAAATGACCAAATATGCCAACCTTGTAGGAAGCTTTGGCAGTTGTCGAAGCTCCTCACAATAACGCAAATCCAAACTCGTAAGTTGAGAAAGCCAACTAATACTTGGTGGCACTTCAGAAATATAGGTTCCCATCAAGTTTAAGATTTTCAGAGATGATAGTGCCCCAATTTCCGTCGGAATTTCTCCCTCCAAAAATTTGCAATGCATAGCGAATAATTCTTCAAGCTTCTCCAACATCCCTGTTGCCTTAGGAAGCTTTCTTAATTTACACCTTTCCATGTCTAAAATCTCCAATCTCTTAAGCTCTCCAATCGAATCAGGCAGTTCTATAATGTTTGTGGAAGATATGCTCAACTTGACTAGAGATTTCAATTTCTCAATTGACTCTGGAAGTTTATTTACCAATGAATCATGCAAAGACAATACTTGAAGACCGGCTATCTCCCCTATTGAATCCGGAAGTTCAAGGAGTTCCAGATTTTCCATCCTTAGCATTGATAGACACTTTAGATTACCCAATGAATCTAGCCATGATTGACGTACCATGCCTAGATTGAGCGTTGTGGGAGCTCCTTTAAGCACCCTCAAACCAATACAGCCCTTAATTTCCAAGTGCTTCAAATGCCGCAGCATGGTAATGGATGGGTCAATTTCAACCAGCCTATCACAATCCTTCACAACGCGTCCCTCCAAAGTCAAGCATGTAGAGAAGTTGGGCATCTTGGTCAACCTTCTACAACTCACGAGATGCAAAACTTTTAAACTACTTTCTCCCTGTAAAATTACTCATACAAGAAACTACATGGATCGTCAAATTTACTATGCACAAAGAAAAAGAGTAAATGTAAATTGCTTTTATTACATAATATCGTACCAAGATTTGGCTCCATCCACTCCAATCATTTGTAATGTCAGATTCTGAAATTTTGAGGACAACTAGATTGCTTGGAGAAGTTAGTAGCTTGAAACTCTGATGGACAATTTTGCCAAGGGAGCCATCTTAACTTCAAAAGGAGATTTCGGAAGTCCCCTACAAAGTTTCCTCCATCCAATTCAAGGAACCTTGACTTTACCAGCCTTAAAATGTCTTGGCGTGTGATATTGCACACTTGAGATTGTCCCCCTAGTTTGAGTGCTACTATTTTTCTTGTTCCCTAGTAAAGGAAATTATAGCTCAATTAGACAAAGCTTTGGTGAACATAAGATACGGGCTCATGAAATTTGACACAATATCTTTTCTGAGAAAAGCTTGGGACTGTAAAAAAAAAAGGCCTTATGTAAGAGATAATTTCCATTATCTGTAAGTTGTATATGAGGAGAAAAGAGTGATCACTTTGACTATAAGTTAGGCGGAGTAAAATGTGAGGATGTAAAGCACAGGGTTTAATGTACAGGAGAGTGAGAGTTAGGGGGTATACTGTAATGATTTAGAGTATATGGTCTTATGTGTGAAAGAGTGAGAATTCAGGGGATCTAATGAAAAAAATTTTAAGTTTAGATTTTAAGAAGTAAGACAATTAGAGTTCAGGGGGTTAAAGTGAAAACTTCCATATACTTCATTTTCCAAGTTTAACGAAGAAAATTATGGAGTAGACTTTGAGAATAGGCTCGGCTTGTGTTTGGTGGGGTTTGAAAAAGCAAGCGAGGAAATGAATGGCTAGGTTGTTTTCATCTTAAGCAGTTTTATGTATCCCGTGACATCCTGAAATTTGCCGATTTGGGATTTATGAATTGAGTGGTTTTATGAACGTACTTATAGTTAGGTCTCGCTCGAAACTGATCATTCCTGGGATACTAACCGTTAGGGAAGGGCTAATTAGGGATTTAAATTCGTGCGACTGAAGAAATTCGGTCGTGAACTGACTTTCGACCATAGAATCGTCGAGGTGACATTTTGAGCTAATGTAGGCCGATCTTAGGATAGTTATGGGCCGGTTCGTCATTGTCATATGAGTGGATCACGGGTGATTCCGTTTGACCACGAGGTGAGTTGACGAACGATCCAGAACCTATACCGAATGATCGCGCCCGTCAGAACTAGCGATCGATCCTCGCGATTACATTGACAACCGAGGTCGTCACGATCCGAATGAACTTGCACGTAACTTGATTTAGTATCAGTCACGGGTCGAATATGCGAATTTCTCCAAAAGCGGCCCGTTAGTCTGAGACACGCTCAAGTTACGTTATATAAAATTCAGTTATTAATTAGAGACCAAATTGGGCATCAAAAATTTAGGAAGTCACTACAGGACATTTGGACGACGTTGTTATTGGAATGTTCAGTCTTGGAATTGTTCGAATCCTTCAGAAAAATTGAATTTCGGCGAAGGATGAAAAATGACCGTTTTACCCCTGGAGCTTTGTTAAGGGCAAGTGTTATTGGGGAAGGGCATTTTGGTCATTTCGCCCTAACTTTAGAAATGACAATTTTTGGACAATTTTGCCCTTGGAATTTTATGAAATTTTCAAATTACCTTTGGATATTTTTGGAAAAGATTCAATCTCGGCCGTCGATCTCAAGATAAGAACGAATCTCGGCCGTTGATTGAAAAGTAGAGAGAGGGGCAAGATGGTCATTTTGCATAAAGGGGTTCAATTATTGATTTTTAAACCAATTTCTCTCTCTCCCCCTCTCATTTCTCTCCCTCTCTCTCGGCAACTCTCCTCTCCCTCACCGCCGATTGCCCCTCTCCCCTTGGTCGCGCCACCGCCGTTGCCGATCGTCGCCACTGCAAGGTCACCGCCATAGCCGCCGCGTTCCAACCGCCTAGTCAACCTTGGATAGGTTGATTTTGCTTGGAAATTTCCAAGTAAGTCGCAATCTAACCGTTGTCTAGGACATCGGTATTTATCAGACTCGTTTAGACGCGGTTTAGGGTAGTTTAGGAGTTGATTAGGGTGCTGATCGTGGTTGTTGGTGGCTGATCATGGCTGTTAGTGGCTGTTGCATGTTGGATTAGATATTTGGGAATGAGTTTTGTGGGTTGGAGATCCATGGGTGTGAGCTAAAACTTGAATCTTGGTTGTTTAGTTCAAAACTCGGATTCGTGACTACTGTACCCGTCCGGTTTTCTATTTTTGTGGAGAATTTTGTGGGCCGAATTTGAGGACGTTTTCTTCATGAAAGTTTCTCCCAACATCTTGAAGTATAACATATTTTAAATTTGGAATTTTTGGAGGCCATTTGGGTCGCACGAAAACCCATTTTCAGACCGTCTTAAAACTGCCCGGAACACTGTTCATCCCGACCTTCTTGTCTTGCTGAATTTTTATAAAATTTTCCAGATCTATTTTCAATAAACTTTCTTCACAAAAGTTGTTGGCGACTTTATTTTCTATGACATATAAACATTTCAAAGCTTTTCAAGGTGATTTGTGTGTTGAAAGAAATGTATTTTGAGAACAAAATAGTCTATTAGAGCGAATTGATTTTGGTCTGATTTCGAGGGACAAAAAGGCTTGGTTGTAGATTGAACCGAATTTCGTGTTCTTCATAAGAAATGTTTATCAAGATGTTTTTTGGAGTTCGTTTATTATTTATTTTGATGTGATTTCGGTCACTGTGTAAACTGCCCGGATTTACCCTGATTCTATGAATGTTCATTTTTATGAGCGGAATGGTGAGGGTGTCGAGGTTGAATAGTTACTGCCCTCGTGACTGGAATTGATGCTTGATGTGTGTTTGTATGTGGGCTGAATTGAAATGGTTGAATTGGGTGCATTTAATTAATGTTCGAGTATGTGAACGTGTGAGATTTGAGGCGTGTGATGTGCGTGTGATCACTAAAAAGCCCTGAGGCGTGTTTACCCGGGTTACAGATAAAATACGGTGTGTTGGTATGTTCGTGTGATCACTAAATCCCTGAGGCGTGTTTACGCGGGGAATTGAATCGGCCTGAGGCGTGTTTACACGGGTCGTGATACGACTGTGGGATCAGACCGAGGCGTGTTATGCTCGGGTCGCGATCATGTAGGCCTGATGCGTGTTTACGCGGGCTGAGCTGAGGAAAGAAAGTGAGAATGGGATCGGACCGAGGCGTGTTATGCTCGGGTCGCGATCATGTAGGCCTGATGCGTATTTACGTGGGCTGAGGAAAGAAAGTGAGAATGGGATCGAACCGAGGCGTGTTATGCTCGGGTCGCGATCATGTAGGCCTGATGCGTATTTACGCGGGCTGAGGAAAGAAAGTGAGAATGGGATCGGGCCTGAGGCGTGTTTACGCGGGTCGCGATCATGTAGGCCTGATGCGTGTTTACGCGGGCTGAGGAAAGTGATTGAGCACGAGATGGTGCGATGTGGCAAGTTAAATGAAAATGATGTGGTGGTGCGTGAACAAGTGTGAATTGTGGAGTTCGGAAATATGGTGTGTTTGACATGTGCCTTCGAGCATGAGATTGGGTTGGAAAGTGCATGTGATTTGTAAATGTGAATATAAGACTAACGTGCAGGTTGCGTGTATTAAAAACCAGGTAAGTACGATTGTGTGGACGTTGTTTGTATGTTGCTTGATTCGGTGTCTGGACTTGTCTGGAATACGTGGTAGCCTAGGTAAGGTTTAGGTTGTGTACTTATTGAGAAGTGTCTCATGGTTGTATCAACTAAACCATTTCAGAGCACCCGCCCGAGCCATGAACCTTCCGTCGCCGCCGCCGCAGCGTTTTGGGATTGTTATGCACACTGATCATGATGTTGTAGAATACTCGATCGAGATTGAGGCTGATTCGGAGTCATCGGATGAGCATGTGCCTGATGAAGATTCGAATGAGGATTCCGAAGAGAGTGAGTCAGAGTGGACGCCATCTAGAGGGCATAGGGATTAGTTTTGGAGCTGAGGAAGAGTTTGGAAGTGTTCCATTTTGTTGTAGTGCTTACCCAGGCTACTGATCTTTTTGTGATATCGGTGGTTTGCAGTTTGGTAGTTCAGTGTGCATATTTTGCTTTGTGGTTTGTAAATGGCGGTTGTGGCGTAAGTTTATATTGTAAATGGATATCGTACTTAAATCGAGGTATAGTATAAGGTTTGGTGGTTTGGCAATTATTTTCCCTAGTACCCCTGGTTAATCATTGTCTGGGTGTTTGTTGTTTCCGCTGCGATTAAACTCTGATGGGTTCGATTTGGGTCGGCGACGTTTCCTGGGACGTCGCACTAATTCGACCAAAGAGGGATGTCGCATACTCGATGGGGGTTCGGGGCGTGACATATCTTCTTCCTAAGTATGCAAATTTTCGACATCACATGAAAAATGGGAAAGTACCAAAAAAGTCTTAAACTTATTACATCGGTACCAATTCAGTTCTAAATCTTTCAATTAGACCAATTTAGTTATAAACATTTTTACATTGGTACCAATTCAATCCATCTGACCAATTTAGGTTAAAAATTGCTGACGTGGACATCAACCGTCCTACTTGGCACAACCGGTGCTAACGTGGATATTTTTAAATAATTTTTCGAATTTTTTTATTAATTTTTTCTTTTATTTTCCGTTTTCTTTTTTTCTTCTTTTACTTTCTTTTCTTTTTTTTTTCTTTCCTTTCTCTTCGCTCCGCCAGTCGCCAGCCTCCACAATGACCGGCGAAGGCCACTGGCGAGGGCGAGGGCCGGGACACCCTCACCGGCCTTTGGCAAGGGGGGCCGGCAAGGGCTGGATGAGGCCGCCCCTCGCCAGATCCGACAAGGGGACCCTCGCCCAACCCTCACCGGCCTCTGGTGAGGCTGGCCTTGCCTGGACGAGGTCCCTCGCCATCGCTAGAGGCCGATGAGGCCCCTCGCCAAATCTAGCAAGGGGACCCTCACCGGCCTCGTCTAGCCCTCACAATCAGTCCTAAACTTTGTCACAAGGACTGGACGAGGCCAACAAGGGCATCCTAGCCTTTGCCGGCCTCTGGCGAGGGTCCCCTCACCGAATCTGGCGAGGGGCCTTGCCAGCCTTTGGCAATGGCGAGGGCATGTGAGGATTGGGCAAGGGTCTCTTCGCCAGATTTGGCGAGGGCCGGCCTCCACTGAGGCTGGCAAGGGCATCCTGGCCTTGGCCCTCGCTGGCCTCCGCCGGTCATCATGGAAGCTAGCGGAGGGAAGAGGAAAGAAAGAAAAAAAGAAAAGAGAAAATAAAAGAAAAATTAATAAAAATTATTTTGAAATATCCATGTTAGCGCTAATTGTGCCATGTAGGACGACCGGCGTTCACGTTAGCGATTTCCGGCATAAATTGATCGGATGAACTGAATTGGTACCAATGCGAAAATGTTTAGGACTAAATTGGTCCAATTGAAAGATTTATGACTGAATTGGTACCGATACAATATGTTTAAGACTTTTTTGGTACTTTTCTCCATGAACACCCACTCTGAATTATTACCACGTGATGTCATCACTTTGAATACTCCTTTTGTGATTCGGATTGCTACAAATGGTTTCAGAGCATCATGTCCTCCGATAAGTAGCGGGTTGTTTATAAATAGACTAGGTTTATACTCAATCCTACAACGGTAAGGAGTGATTGTTGAGAAATTTGGACCAATACAGCAGTGGACATCAATATTTTAAATAGGACAACACCTTGTCTGAGCCCTCTTTCGCCCCCAACGATCACTTTCATCGCTCGTCAATCAGTTATAGGTCTAGTCCATCCACGAACCCTATATCCACTTCGCGGGGTGTTGCTCTTATACCAATGTTATGCGATATGACCTGTTTTACATGGGCCAAACCCCTCATCTAATGTGAGACTTTGGGATTATATATTTTCTAAGTGCTTAAGTTCATGAGATAATGTTTTAGGCCAAAGTAACTCGAAAAAATGTACTTTCTTCTTCTTCTTTTTTTGTCAATAATGTACTTTCTTCTTTACGCATTTGAGAAGGATTGGTATTTTTAGATGCCCAATAAACGGGAGAAAAGTTTCACTCCTTGAAGAGAGAACATTTCAGACTACATTCGTATCTTCCGCTGGAAATTGTAGGTTTGAAGTGTTGATGCTCATATACATGAAAGAACCGCAATCGTAATGGGAAAATAGCAACTTTATTACTAATTCAAAGAAGATAAGGCGGCCTTACAGGAAAATAGAACATACTCAAAATAACAGTAACTAGCGGCAAAAAGATCGAGTCTCATCAAGTCTTACATACAAGAATTAAAAAAAGAGCTAAGTGTAGCTACTTTTCAATCTCAATACAGGGGCATGATCATTATGTAGACAACCTATGAATAGAGGTGATGGTGAATGGATGAAGTTGATCAAAAAGCGAAGTTACCACTAACAGTATACCCACTGAAAGCGATTCCCTCTGCAACCCATTCAAATTATGGACTCGATACGTGAGGCAGCATCTTGCATCTAAAAACATTCAAACAACATGTTTCCTTATTCACAACAGGCAAACTTTTCAATGAGTCGCAATCAGATAAATTCAACTCGCTCAGGTTCTGTAAGCTGGAAAGATCTGGTAGCTCTGTCAAAGACGGGCAGTAACTAATAAATAATTGTTCCAGTGATTCTAATTGTTCAAGACCTTGAATCTCAACTAGACGTGGGCACCTATTAACAGCCAAAACCCATAGCTTTCTTAAGCTTGGTAAATGGGATAGTCTTTCAAGGAATTGACACTCTAATACATTCAAATATCGAAGGCTCTCCAGCTGTCCAAGCACATCCACTGGAATTTCGTTTAAGCACGACCTGCATATTTCCAAAGTGGACAAATATTTGAAGGTGTGAAGGTTTGACCATCCATCTGTGGACTCGAGATCATAGAACCTCAATCTCTCAATTTTGGGTGGATTCCACTCAAGAGATTGAAAGGTGGAGCCTCGTAAGTGGAGATGCTTGAGTTCGGTAAGGGTATTTGTAAAGTCAGCAGGCAACGCGGTCATGTCTAAAAGGTCCAATGTCAACGCTGACAGCCTAGTTAACCTCCCAATACACTGCAAATCTTGAGCTTGGCATGCGGCTAGTGGTGCATGAGGCATATTAACATATCCACGACGACCATAGTCGGATAAATGCAGAGAACTTAAGTTGGTTAGGTTTGACAAATCTGGAATCCTCTTTAATGCCGAAAACATAACATCCAAATATGCCAAACTTGTAGGAAGCTCTGGTAGTTGTCGAAGCTCCTCACAATGTTGCAAACCCAAACTCGTAAGTTGAGAAAGCCGACTAATACTTGGTGGCACTTCAGAAATACGGCTTCCACCAAAGATTAGGTCTTTCAAAGATGATAGTTGCCCAATTTCCATGGGAAGTTCTCCCTCCAAAAATTTGCAAAGTGTAGCATCTAATTTTTCAAGCTTCTCCAACATCCCTATCGCCTTAGGAAGCTTTCTTAATTTACAACTTTTTATGTCTAGAATTTCTAATCTCTTAAGCTCTCCTATCGAATCAGGCATCTCTATGATGTTCGTGGAAGATATATTCAACTTGACTAGAGATTTTAGTTTCCCAATCGACTCCGGAAGTTTTTCCACAGATGAATTACCTAAAGACAACACTTGAAGACCAGCTATCTCTCCTATTGAATCCGGAAGTTCAAGGAGTTCGAGATTTTCCATCCTTAGTGTTGATAGACGCTTTAGATTACCCAATGAGTCTAGCCATGATTGACGTACCATGCCTAGATTGAGCGCGGTTGGAGCTCCTTTAAGCACCCTCAAACCAATACACCCCTTAATTTCCAAGTGCTTCAAATGCTGCAGCATAGTAATGGATGGATCGATTTCTACCAGCCTATCACATTCCTTCACAACGAGTCTCTCCAAATCCAAGCATGTAGAGAAGTTAGGCGTCTTGATCAAGCTTCTACAACTCACAAGATGCAGAACTTTTAACCTACTTTTTTCCTGTAAAATTACTCATACAAAAATATAGAAAAATCGTCAAATTCACTATTCACAAAAAAAATGTAAATTGCTTATATTACATGATAGCATACCATGATTTGGCTCCATCCACTCCAATCATTTGTAATGTCAGATTCTGAAATTTTGAGGACAACTAGATTGCGTGGAGAGAAGTTAGTAGCTTGAAACTCCGAAGCACAATTTTGCCAAGAGAGCCATCTTAGCTCCAAGAGGAGATTTTGGAAGTCTCCTACAAAGTTTCCTCCATCCAATTCAAGGAACCTTAACTTTACCAGCCTTGAAACATCTTCATGCGTAATATTGCACACTTGAGATTGTGCCCCTAGTTTGAGTGCCACTATTTTTTTGGTACCCTAGTAAAGGAAATTGTACCTCAATTAGTCTCGACTCAGGTGAACATAAGAAAAGGCTCGTGAATGTAAGACAGTATCTTTGCATTTTATTGGTAAAAAGCCCGGGAGGGACAACTGGCGTAACTACCTCTTTGGGTGTTAACATAAGGTCTCACATCATATGTGGAATGTTTGATTTTAGCCATAATTATTCATCCACCCATAGGTAACGAGCCCGTTACCACAGCCCTACTAGCCTGCTAGAAGCCGAATCTCCACACATGGTAGCAAAGACATAAATGACAAGTTGGCTAGAGGTTTGCTCAAGGCATGACTCAAATTTATGAACTCATGAAATATAGTGTAGCCCATTTACCATTGAGGTACCACGCTCTGTGGTAATTTAACACAATACCAACCTATTCTATTTTCTATGTAAAGTGAAAAGTAGAACTTCAGTCAAAACTTACCTCTTTTCTTTGTATAACATCCATGGCCACAGTGGAACTCCATATTCTACTACGCTCTCCAGGATGTTCGATGCTCTCCTTGCGAACTAGTTCCCTCCCTAAATCTCTGAGTTGGTCATGCATCAAAATATCATCATTCATAATTTTTATCAGAGACATTTTAACAAGAACTGATATGGCTTCATAGGGAAAAAATTCACAAGCTCTCCACATAGAAATTGCATCGCTTCTGTTTTCACCAGCCATGTGACATGCAATGTCAAGGAAAATTTCTCTCTGCTCATATTCCAGCATGTCATAACTTACCTTTAATATTTCCCGAACGTCTTTGTGTGGCATTTTCTTCAACTTGGCTAATACATCTTCCCACACTTCTTCGCTCTCGCAGAAAAGTGAAGATCCGGTAACCACAAGAGCCAGTGGAAGTCCCCCCGTGATTTTTACAATTTCTCTTGTTATTCTATCATATTCAAGTGGAGGAGCATCGCTCTCAAATGCATATCTACTAAAAAGTCGAATAGCATCAGAATCATGCATCTTCTCCACTTCATAGAAGTGATACACTTTAGGATGCATTGAGGCATTATTCTTGTTAATTTTGAAAAGACTAATGTCCCTAGTAGTCACAATAATTCTACTCCCCGGACCGAACCAATCACACTTTTCCGCTAGCTTCACAAGTTGGTCCCTTTTATCCAAATTATCAAGAACAATCAGAACTTTCTTGTGGCAACATCTTCCTCTAATCATATTGATCCCAAAATCGGTATCATGAATCTTTATGGAGGTAGACTTGAGGATGTCAGACAATAATCTATTTTGCAATTTCACAATCTTACCTTGCTGTGAAAATTCTCGAATGTCTGACAGGAAGCTACAACCATCAAACTGAGAAGCAATTTTGTTGAAAACAACTTTGGCAAGAGTTGTCTTACCAATTCCGCCCATTCCATGTATTACGACAAACCGTACATCGAGAGAGTCTTTGCCTAACAAATCCATCACGGTTTTCACTTGACGATCGATTCCAATCAAATGATCTGGCACAATTCGAACTCCTCTTGCCAATTTCCTCGAAACCTCATCGGTAACAAGTTTTATAAGCTCCCCTTGCCTGCCATACAAGGAATTCAGATTGAGTCCAACAGAGAGAACATCAACTTCCAGGATTTTCTAAATGTGAATTCGCCGTTCACATCAATGGCAGAAACAGAAAATTTAATTAGGCGACCGAAGTAAATTAAGGCTTAGATATCTACTTTAAACACGCACACAAAAAGAGAAAGGAACAAAATTACGCACACAGAAAGAGAGTACAAGACTGCTAGCAAAATTAACAAGTTAAGAAACACAACAATCAATAGTTAACATCGTGGCTTGGAACGCCGAACCTGAGTATCAACAGATTCACGGCAAAATATCCACACTGAAATACACTGTCATCCTTGACTAATGCAAGCATCACGTTTATTCCGCAAAAGAACTCATTCCTGGAAATTTATACTGCCTAAAAATAAATATCAAATTTGTCATAACATTACTTTTCCATTGCGTACTCAGAACGGGATATAACTTTATCTGATGCATTGGTTTCGCGAAAAATCAAAGATTTGGAAAATTGTTCCTAAAAAAATAGTTGGCATGTATCAAAACACTGTGTCATCATCCTCAAGATCTGCTAAACATCAATCCCCGAAAAAGTTTTGATGGAAGTCGTACAACTTCCGGTATGGCCAACGAACCCCCATGCTATATCTCCCCAAACTCAGATTCATGGATCGCATCATCACTTCAGAAATCATGGGGCTCATAGCGAGGGGGTCGAGAATGTTAAGTAACCACAATTTACCAGAAAAAGTAAATCGGCTAATCTGAAATATCACACGAAAAGGTAACCACTGAAACAAATCAAACCACTTTAATTTCTTGCCCACTCCATGTCCAGATCTCCGTGAAGAACCACAAATTCTTTTCATGATTGCAGCAGTATAAATCAAGTTTTAAGCTATTGATCGCTCTAGGGTAACTGTGTGTGTGTGTGTATATATCTAAAGACATGAAAAAGGAGTGAAGTATAAGTATGTAGTGAAAAGCTCTCGACATTCTCTTACCCTCTATCTTTGCAGTGCCATCCTTTGATCGAAGCGACCTCTGTTAGAGCCTTTTTCCACCGTTGGATTTCATCGGAACTGAACCTGTCCTCATGCTTTTTCAAGGCATCAGCGTATAATTCAGTTCTGAGCTTAACATCGTAAGGATCGACATCAAAGAAAATGGGAAGAATCACTTTCTCCGTTGATCTTCTCGAGCATTCCACCATGTGGGCGAGCTCGCGAAGACACCATGCGCTGGATGTATAGTTTTTGGAGAAGATGGGCACATAAAATCTGGAGTCGTTGATCGCGTGTAGAAGCTCGCCTCCAATCTTCTCGCCTTTCCGGATCTCTTCATTGTCTAAGAAGACGCGAATCCCAGCTCCATCGAGGGAGTGATAGAGGAGATCGGTGAAATTGAGGCGAGTATCCGGCCCTCTGAAATTCAAGAACACATCAAATTCAGCTCCCAGTGACTCACTAGCTCCACCCGTCGCCGACGACGTTGCTGTATCCGAGTCCCATTTTCTCTTCATTTTCTCTGAGTTAAACTACTTCTGGTGTGCACGACTCTTCCTGGTCTGATCGGCGATTCATCGAGAGGATGCCGTTTGTGAAAGAGCTACAGAGCGTAGTAAATCACCCGTCCCGACGGTAGGTTAGAGAAAGACTTTGATTCTTGGTCGGACAAGATTCCCCAAGAATATATTGGCAATCACGCGTGCTAACAGTAAGTCAGAGAAAGACTTCCTTGAGTTTATTATCATAATTTTATTAATTATCGTTATCGTCCTTGTGGTAAGACTTGATCACCGTGTACGTCGCTCCTTAATATTAACAAAATAAGACATTTAGAACCAAAATGAAAGTTGAGCTAAATTATTTGGTCGTGAAAGAAATTAAGAAAAGGTAAGATTACACTCTTTTGATTATTTACATAATTCGATAGAGGGTATTTTTGCATTTTTCATTTTTACAAATAGTCATGGAGATTGTGAAATTCACAGTCTAACTGAATGATAGAATTTGAAAAAGTCGTGGAAAATATAGAATTTTGTAGAATACATGAGGTGATGCCTACGTAGGAGGTTTTCCATTTAATACCAATAATTAAATTTTGTAATCCTAGAATTAATAAGAATAAGCTCGAGTCAGATATTAAAATTAACAAGCGGAGATTCTTTAAAAACATGCCTCTTCTAGTTCTTTTTTAGATACTTACAGACGGAAAAAAAATAACTTTGTTGTTTTTATTATTTGTGATTCTTTCACGAGTATTCCTTTTTCAACAATGGTATTTTATGTATTGAAGTAAATCTTCTTCCATGAATCTGCAAAAAGCCCGGGCACGTAAATTAATTATAAATAACTGACCAAAAAATTAATTATAAATATGAAAATGAGTTTGTGACATTAATGATGATAAAAAAATTTTACCACCCGCCTGGGTGGCGCTGCTGGAGCGCGCACTCTTCCTCTCGCAAAAGGTTGAGTGTTCGAATCCCGGGTGCCGCAGGGTGACTTAACCGGTGCACGTGTGTAGTGGCTAGCACGTGTCGCCCCCAGGGTTTACCTCCCGGCTGTCGGCCGTGCGGGGGTTCCCTGGGTCATCAAAAAAAAAAAAAAATTTGCACCATCTGACTGTTATAAAAAAGCTTTGCAACAAAAAAAGGCAATAAAGGGCAAATAAGGAAGTCTTTATGGGTATATTAATGATGGTTGAAATGTACTATCTTCCACTATTGGAATGTGGTAAATGTAAAAGGTGGAAAAGGAGAATCTTAAACAAAAAGGAAGAATATTTGTAGGTAATAAATCTATAATCTATAATTATCTATGTATGGTGAATGATGGGCAGTACTGATAGTTGATGTTTCTTAGCCACATTGTATCTAAATATAATTCACCTTTACATATTTTGATATTGTTAATGAATGATTAAAAAGCTGATAGGGAGGAATTGGCTTGTTATAACGTAAATTGGACGAAAAAATAATAAAAATTTGTGGTCAATAACCTAATTATGTCCAACTAAAATAAAGAGATATATGAGAATATCTATGTCATGATAATTCTCCAATTTTTGCTATCCCATCCATTCATGCCTGTATCAATCTCTTTCTTTTCTTTTCTTCCATTTTTGTTATCCCCATCCAGCTAAAATAAAGAGACATCTTATATTTGAAATAAATAAATAAATAAATCCCTAACTTATATCATCCTTGATTTTCTCTCATCTCACATTTAGCATTCTCTTGGGAGTCGAACCATTATAGAAAATAGGGGGTATAAATTGAAGTTTTCTTTTTATGAATTTACGGTTTTGGCATTGTTTTTTTTTCCCATTTCCCCCTTTTCTTTCGATCTGTGGAATTGCTTTATCATTTGGAACAGTGACAATTTCGAGGCAAAAGTCAAGAACAGCTTGTCCGAAAACTTTCACCGGGTCATCGGGTCAACCTACCCTCTGGGACGTACTGCGAGTTTTGCTTTTACCTCAGAAGCAAAAGTTAAAGAGGCCCACAAAAGAAGAACAAAGAAAGAACAAGACCAACCCACCAAGCATTTCAGTATCGCCTTAACCCCATACGGGGGTTGTGCTGTTGTGCTCTCCTTAACCCCACATCGATGTCCCTACTAATCTACTATACCCAAATAACGTGTCTTTTCGGGCGAATTAACCTAGACATTTCCTAGAAACTATAGAAGACACGGGTCAACATTTGTCTTCTTTTAAAAAAAAAACCTATTCTGTCCTTAGTCCTTTGTTTAATCTTTCTTGCACCGACTAATTAGTTTGTTAATTTCCTGGTGATGCCCGGCCAAACAAATGATGACCATGGAATGCTGCAGGTGATGTCCCACCATCAAATGAGTCCTATTGTTTAATTAAAGACAATATAAGAAGAGAAAAATTAATATTTTATATCACGACAATATAACAACACACAGAAGGATACATAAAATCATACTTGTGCCATACTATATTTTCTTCTTTTCTCTCTCTCGCTGGCATCCAACTACTATAAGTGTGAAAGAGTGTCTTCCAACAAAATTTCTTGCTAGTGCTTTTAAGCCTAGTTTATTTCTACCATCATCATATCACGGTTGCGCTTGTATTATATGGTAACAATCTGTTTTTCGTTTCTTCTCATGCGCATTCTACTTGAAAATCACATCAAGCTAGATCTGTATTGGTAGCATACTGACAGTCTCTCCTATGGACGAATTCATCCAATTTTTGTTGCAAAGTGATGTGGTATTACCCAAGGCAAATTTCGGGTTCGGTTTTACCGTGGAAATAACTTGAATGAACATAGTGTTCAAAGGAATCTCCCAAACCGGTTCGTGAAAACTCGTGTGCGAATTTCTTAGCGAAAGGAAGAGAAAAAATGTCAGTTTGAAATCTCGATCTAAACCAACTTAAGGCAGAGGGCATTTGCTTTCTCTTTGGTGTTGTCTGAAAAGATTGTTCGCAGATTGTTTCTGAGGATAGACGGCAAATTCGGAAATTAACTCCTAAATTTTTTTCCAAATCAAGTCGACTTCTTTTTTGCAGGCGGTGCGGATGACGCCATCGTTCCTTTCCCCTATAATAGGCTTGTGCTTGAGACCGCAATCTGACTATGAAAACGCGCTCCTGGGAAAATTTTAAGACCGCGGATTTTTTTACATTGATTCCATCACCAGAAGCTTATAATAGATTCATTCCACAAAACCATGCAAGTTAAATTAGAAAGTCATCAAGCTGCTTAGAATGAGGAAAATTGTCCAAAAAGTCATAAACATATTGCATTTTGGCCAATTCGATCCTAAATCTATTGCATCTATTTATTATTATTATTTTCTTATTTTCGTAAAAAGATGAATAATAACCAACGACAAAAAGATCGAGTCTCATCACGTCATACATACAAGAATTAAAAGAGAGCCCAGTGTATCTACTTTTCAATCTCGGTACAAGGGCAAGAACATTATGTATACGCAACCTATAAATGGAGGAGATGATGAAGGAACGAAGTTGATCAGAAAGCAAAGTTCCCGCTAACGGTATATGTACTAGAAGGGGGCTTCTATGGCGCTTCTATGCAAGCCCATTCAATTGTCACACCGGAACCATATGGCAGCATCTTGCATCTGACAACATTCACATGACATGTTTCCTTATTCGCCACAACAGGCAAACTTTCCAATGAGTCGCAACCTAATAAATTCAACTTGCGCAGATTCTGTAAGCTGGAAAGATTCGGTAGCTCTTTTAAGGACGGACAATAACAAATATACAATTCTTCTAGTGATTCTGATTGTTCGAGACCTCGAATCTCAATTAGCCGTGGACTCTCATAAACAGTCAAAGCCTGGAGCTTTCTTAAGCTTGATAAATGGGGTAGTCTCTCAAGGAATTGACACTCCAATACAAACAGATCCAGGAGGTTCTCCAGCTGTCCAAGCACATCCATTGGAATTTCGGTTAAGCACGACCTGACTATTTTTAAACTGGACAAATATTTGAAGGTGTGAAGGTTTGACCATCCATCTGTAGACTCAAAATCATACCACGTCAATGTCTCAACTTGGGGTGGAATCCGCTCTAGAGATTTAATGGTGGAGCCTGGTAATTCGAGCATTTTGAGTTCGGTAAGGGTACCAAAGTCAGCAGGCAACACGGTCCCCTCTGAAAGGTCCAATGCCAACCATGACAACCTGGTTAACCTCCCAATACACTGCAAATCTTGAGCTTGGCATGCGTTCGGTGGTGCATGAGGCATATCAACATATCCACGCCGACCATAATCGGATAATTGCAGAAAATTTAAGTTGCTCAGGTTCGATAGATCAGGAATCCTCTGTAATGATGTAGACTTAATGTCCAAATGTCCCAAACTTGAAGGAAGCTCCGGCAATCGTCGAAGCTCCTCACAATCACACAAACCCAACCTCTTAAGTTTACAAAGCCGACTAATAGTCGGTGGGACTTCAGAAATACGGGTCCCATTTAAGAATAGTTCTTGCAGAGATGATAGTGCCCCGATTTCCATTGGAATTTCTCCTTCCAAAAATATGCAAGATGAAGCATCTAAAGATTCAAGCTTCTCCAACATTCCTATCGCCTTAGGAAGCTTTCTTAATTTACAACTTCTCATGCCTAGAGTCTCCAATCTCTTAAGTTTTCCGATCGAATCAGGCAGCTCTATAATGTTCGTGGAAGATATATTCAAGTTGACAAGAGATTCCAGTTTCCCAATCGACTCCGGAAGTTTCTCCACAGATGAATCACATAAAGACAACACTTGAAGACCAGGTATCTCCCCTATTGAATCAGGAAGTTCAAGGAGTTCCAGATTTTCCATCCTTAGTGTTGATAGACGCTGTAGATTACCAAGAGAGTCTAGCCACGAATGATGTACCATGCCTAAATTGAGGGTTGTTGGAGCTCCTTTAAGCACCCTCAAACCTATACACCCCTTAATTTCTACGTGCTTCAAATACTGCAGCATAGTAATGGATGGGTCAATTTCAACCAGCCTATCACAATCCTTCACGACAAGTCTCTCCAAAGTCAAGCATGTAGAGAAGTTAGGCATCTTGGTCAACCTTCCGCAACTCACGAGATATAGAACTTTTAAACTACTTTCTCCCTGTAAAATCACTCATACAAGAAAGTACAAAGATTGTCAAATTTACTATGCGCAAAGAAAAAGAGTAAATGTAAATTGCTTGTATTATATGATATCGTACCATAATTTGGCTCCATCCACCCCAATCATTTGTAACGTCAGATTCTGAAATTTTGAGGACAACTAAATTGCTTGGAGAGAAGTTGGTAGCTTGAAACTCTGAAGGACAGTTTTGCCAAGAAAGCCATCTTAGCTTCAAGAGGAGATTTTGGAAGTCCCCTACAAAGTTTACTCCATCCAATTCAAGGAATCGTAACTCTACCAGCCTTGAAATGTCTTCGCTTGTAATATTGCACACTTGAGATTGTCCCCCTAGTTTGAGTGCTTTTATTTTTTCGGTTCCCTAGTAAAGTATATGATGGCTCAATTAGTCTCATCTTTCGTGAACATAAGAAAAAGGCTAGTAAATTTAACACAGTATCTTTTCTTTCTATGTAAAAGGCTGGGGGTGGGGCAATCACCGTAGCCTCAGCGGCCTCACGGAATTAAAGAAATATCTCCAAACAAGATAGTAAATGCCTAGAACATAATTCGAATAGAAATTCGCTTGCGACATAACTAGAACTTGTAGCCACATGGAAGATAGTGTGACCCTTTCATAGTTGAGCTACCATGCTCAGTGATAATTTAACACAATACGATCTGTTCTATTTTCTACACCAAATTAAAAGTAGAACTTTAGTCAATACGTACCTCTTTTCTTTGTATAACATCCATGGCTTCGGTGGAACTCCAAATTCTACTACGCTCTCCGGGATGTTCAATACTCTCTTTGCGAACAAGTTCCCTCCCTAAATCTCTGAGTTGGTCGTGCATCCAAATGAAGTCATTCGTAATTTTTATAAGAGACATATTAACAAGAACTCTGATGGCTTGATTGGGAAAAAATTCACAAGCTGTCCACATAGATATTGCATAGTTTCTTTGTTCACCGGCCATGTGGCATGCAATGTCAAGGAAAATTTCTTTCTGCTCGTCTTCCAACATGTCATAACTTATCTTCAATACCTCCCGGACTTCTTTGGGAGGCATTTTCTTCAGCTTGGCTAATACATCATCCCATACTTCTTCGCTTTCACAGTAAAGTGAAGATCCAATGACCACAAGAGACAACGGAAGTCTGTCAGTGATTTTTACAATTTCTCTTGTTATTTTATCATATTCGCGTGGAGGAGCATCGCTCTCAAATGCATATCTACTGAAAAGTTGGATAGCATAATGCTCATCCATCTTTTTCATTCCGTAGAAGTGATACACTTGCATGGAGGCATTATTGTTGTTAATTTTGAAGATACCGATATCCCTAGTTGTCACAATAATTCTACTTCCTGAACCGAACCATTCGCACTTCTCTGCTAGCTTCCCAAGCTGGTCCCTTCTATCCAAATTATCAAGAACAATAAGGACTTTCTTGTTGCGACATCTCCCTCTAATCATGTTGATCCCAAAGTCAGTATCATGGACCTTTATGGATTTAGACTTGAGGATGTCAGACAATAATCTTTTTTGCAATTTCACGATTTTATTCTGCTGTGAAAATTGTGGAATGTCTGACAGGAAGCTGCAACCATCAAATTGAGAAGCGATTCGGTTGAAAACAACCTTGGCAAGAGTTGTCTTACCGATTCCGCCCATTCCGTGTATTATGATAAACCGTACATCAAGAGTGCCTTTTCCTAACATAAGCATCACGTTTTGCACATGAATATCAATTCCAACCAAATGATCAGGTAGTACTCGAACTCCTCTCCCCAATCTCATTGAAACCTCGTCGGTGAAAAGTTTTATAAGTTTCCCTTGGCTGCCATACAAGAAATTGAGATTGAGTAACAACACAAAGGACATCAAGTTCCAGGATATTCTGAATGTGAAGTCGGAGTCCACAACAGTGGCAGAAATAGAAAATCTTAGTAAGCAGCTGAAGCAAATTAAGGCAAGATATATATTTTAAACACACACATGGATCATATCTTTTTACAATGAGAAAGGAACAAAATTACGCACACAGGAAGAGAGTACGAGATTGCTAGCAAAGCTACCAAGTTCAAAACTCAACAGTCAGAAGTTAACGCCCCTTGGCATGGAACTTTGAACCCAAAAATTGACAACACATTCACGATAAAATAACCACAGAGAAATATGCTAAAAATATAAATTGAATTAGTTGTAACACTACCAATTTCGCCACATAAGCACGCGACGGGATATAGCTTTGTCTTGCTAGAGAGGATGATTTTGTTTTGTGAAATAGCAACGATTTGAAATGTATTCAGAAAGATTAGTCGACTTACAATATCTTTGTTATCAACTATAATCTATATCTAAACATTTTTATCGATGATAAAGATATTTTTTATTGATTAATTTTCCTATATCATATTGTCAATTATTGGAAATATATATTCTAAATCATCATCAATTTTCTGAAAGAAAAAAAAACGAGCCATCTCAATTGATTCTCTAACCAAAATTAACTTCACCAAAAATAACTTTTTTCCTTAAATATGCAATCGGCTAAATCAATTTACTCTCTTACCCTGTATCTTTGCAGTCCCATCCATTGATCGACGCGACCTCCGTTAAAGCCTTCTTCCACCGTTGCACTTCATCGTAGCCGCACCTTTCCTCGTGTCTTTTCAAGGCATCAACGTATAATCCAGTTCGGAGCTTAACATCGTAAGGATCGACATCAAAAAAAATGGGAAGAATCACTTTCTCCGTTGATCTTCTTGAGCATTCCACCATATGGGCGAGCTTGCGAAGACACCATGCACTGGATGCAAAGTCTCTAGAGAAGATGGGCACGTAAAACTTGGAGTTGTTGATCGCGTGTAGAAGCTCGCCTTCAATCTTTTCGCCTTTTCGGATATCTTCGTCATCCAAGAAGACGCGAATCCCAGCTCCATCCAGGGAGTGATAGAGGTGATCGGTGAAATTGAGGCGAGTGTCCGGCCTTCTGAAATTCAAGAACACATCAAATTCAGCTCCCAGTGACTCACTACCTCCACCCGTCGATGACGATGTTGCTGTCTCCGAGTCCGATTTTCTCTTCATCCTCTCTGAGCTAAACTACTTCTGGTGTGCACGACTCTTCCTGGTCTGATCAGCGATTCATCGAGAGGATGCAGTTTGTGAAAGAGCTGCAGAGCTTGGGAAATCACGCGTCCCAACGGTAGGTCAGAGAAAGACATTGATTCTTGGTCGGACAAGATTCCCAAAGAAAATAATGGCAATCAGGCGTGCTAACAGTACGATCATAATATTATTAATTATCATTATCGTGCTTATGGTAACACTTGATCGCCGTGAACGTCGCTCCTTGCTATAAAATATTGTTTTAGTCACTTTGGTGCTTGCCTCACGTCATCACATGACAGAGTTGAGACCCACAAAATCGCAGAATCGAAACACAAGGATAAACTTGTGTCAACAAAATAACACATTTAGAACCAAAAGGAAAGTTGAGCTAAATTATTTGGTCGTGAAAGAAATAAAAAAAAAAAAGGTAAGAGTACACTCTTTTGATAATTTACTCAATTCGGTAAACGGTATTTTTGTATTTTTCATTTTTACAAATATTCATGGGGATTGTGAAATTGGCGGTCCAACTGAAAAATAGTATTTGAAAAAGTCATAGAAAATATAGAATTTTGTGGAATACATGAGGTGATGCCTGCGTAGGAGGTTTGCCATTTAATACTCATAATTAAATTTTGTAATCCTAGAATTAATAAGAATAAACTTAAATCAGATTTTGAAATTTACAAGAGGAGATTCTTTATGGGTATTAGTTCAATCAATCCAGCCAGGCTATACAGCTCATCATAGCAATAGAGTTCGTCTTTTTATGCATATGTCCATACGTGGGTTGTGCTGTTGTGCTCTCCTGGACCCTACACTGATGTCCCGACAATACCCAAATAATGCTGTCTTTTCAGGCGGATTAACCTAGACATTTCCTAGAAACTATAGAAGACATGGGTCAACATTTGCCTTCTTTTAAAAAAAACCTATGCTGTCCTTAGTCCTTTGTTTAATCTTTCTTGCACCGACTAATTAGTTTGTTAAATTTTCTGGTGATGCCCGGCCAAAAAAATGATAACCATGGAATGCTGCCGCTGGCGTCCCGCCATCAAATGAGTTCTATTGTTTGTTTCAAAACTATATAAGAAAATAAAAATTAATATTTTATGTTGCGACAATATAACAACTCGATAGAAGAATACATGAAATGGTACTTGTGTCATACTGTATTCTCTTCTTCTCTTTCTCTCGCTGGCATCCCAATACTATAAATGTGACAGAGTGTCTTCCAACAAAGTTTCTTGCTAGTGCTTTTAAGCCGAGTTCATTTCTATTCATTATTAAATAAGAGTGAAAACTTTATAAGTGTGACAGACTGTTTTCCAATAAAGTTTCTCTTTATATTAATTAGAACAAAAAAAAAGTGAAAACTTTAGTAGTCATGTGTAAATATAAATATGACGCTTCTATTAATTGTTAAATAAGAGTTTTATTAATTAAGTGAGGTTAATTCCACGATTTCTTTACCTATGTTGAATTTTTTAAGAGAGACGCAAGACTAACACATGTTGCTGTTATCTATAAATGCAGATGAAGCCGACAGTTCTCTGTAGCATTTGCACCGTAAAATCCGAAGTCTGGAATATTTTGACTAGTATTACTTTTGTTTGCCCGCTGACTGAGACAATTACTGGGTTGACTCCATAACTTGTTTCCCAAGTAGATAAAATCTTACATTTTAGAGAGATGTTTACATCCATTAATGTTTGTTGTTGTGCCCTTTGCTATATGTGTTGTGTCTGACTAGAAGTTTCCTTTGTATTGGTCTATAAATAGGCTTTGTAAGTGGTTCCCCAAACCACATATTAATCTCTTTATCAAATAATGGCATATTTCTTATTCTTGCACTACTTTCTTAGTAACTTGCTTCAATGTAGTCAAAACCAAACTACTTCTTTGAGATCTCCTGCCATCAACAACCAGAGCCCGCAATTGAGTATTCGAGTCTGTTCTAGACCTCGACTTAAAGACCTGAGATCGATTTCTTCTTCATTTCTCAATCATCTTTCGCTTGCTTAATGCATGAGGACTGCAATTGCGCCGAAGGTTCTGATCTGTTGAAGTGAAGCCACAATCAACCTGGCACGACTTGCATTTTTCAGACTCGTGTAATTCTAGCTTGAACACGAAGAGATGGAAAAGAAAACACATTCGAGAAAGGCGAAGTTCAAAGTCCAGCATTGTAATTGTGGCAACCGTCAATTTACAGGCGGAGGAGCTCCTTCATTTCTTCATTGCTGAGAACGTGGAGGCCTTTGCAAGGTGACTTAGAAATTTTTTGTGACAAATGACCCAAATAACTAGCAGCGAAAAGATTGAGTCTCATCACATCTTACAAGACTAAAAAATAAAGCTAAGTGTAGCTACTTCTCAATCTCAATACAAGGGCAAGAAAGTTATGTATACACAACCCATAAATAGAAAAGATGAAGATTAATCTGAGCAAGGCATTCGAATGCCGCCACTTCTGGTTGTGGATTGTAAGCTGCCCATCATAACCTTCATAATCCAAAAGCTGACGGGGGACATGAAACGCGAGGTAGCATCCTGCATGAGAAAACAATCATGCGACATGTTTCCGTATTCGCCACAACAGGCAAACTTTCCAACGAGTCACAATGACATAAATACAAAGTTTCCAGGTTCTGTAAGCCGGAAAGATCTGGTAGCTCTTTCAAGGACGGGCAGGAATCAATAGAAATATGCTCCACTGATTCTGATTGTTCGAGACCTTGAATCTCAACTAGCCCCGGGCAATTAGTAACCCCCAAAAACCATAGCTTTGGTAAGCTTTGTATGTGAGATAGTCTCTCAAGGAATTGACAGTCCAATACCTGCAATTGGCGAAGGTTCTCCAACTGTTCAAGCACGTCCAGTGGAATTTCTGTCAAGCATGACCTGCATACGTCTATTCTGGACAAATACTTGAAGGTGTGAAGGCATGACCATCCATCTGTGGACTCAAGATCATAGAACCTCAACCCACCAATATTGGGCGGAACCCCCTCAAGAAATTGAAAGGTGGAGCCTGGTAATTCGAGATTTTGGAGTTCGGTAAGGGTACTAAAGTCAGCAGGCAACATGGTCATGTCTAATAGATCCAATCTCAAATACGTCAACTTAGTTAACCTCCCAATCCACTGCAAATCTTGAGCTTGGCATGCGTTTGGTGGTGCATGAGGCATATTAAGATATCTAGAACGACCCCAATCAGATAAATTCAGATTTTCTAAGTTGGTCAGGTTTGACAAATCCGGAATCCTCCGTAAAGCTGAAGATGAAATGTTCAAAGATTCCAAACTTGTAGGAACCTCTGGCAATTGTTGAAGCTCATGACAACCGTGCATGCCCAACTCGTGAAGTCGAGAAAGTTGACTAATAGTTGGTGGCACTTCAGAAATACACGTATTATTTAAGCTTAGGATTTTCAAAGATGATAGTGCCCCAATTTCCATCGGAATTTCTCCCTCCAAAAATTTGCAATCACTGGCTTCTAAATATTCAAGCTTCTCCAACATTCCTATTGTCTTAGGTAGCTTTCTCAATTTACAACTTTCCATGAGTAATACCTCCAATCTGATAAGCTCTCCAATCGAATCGGGCAGCTCTATAATGTTTGTGTGAGATAGATTCAACTCGACTAGAGATTTCAGTTTCCCAATTGACTCCGGAAGTTTCTCCACAGATGAATCACTCAAAGACAACTCTCGAAGACTAGATATCTCTCCTATTGAATCCGGAAGTTCAATGAGCTCCAACTTTTTCATCCTTAGCGTTGTTAGATGCTTTAGATTACCTAATGAGTCTGGCCATGATTGACGTACGGAGCCTAGATTGAGTGTGGCTGGAGCTCCTTTAAGCATCCTCAAACCATTACACCCATTAATTTCCAAGTGCTTCAAATCCTGCAGCATGCTAATGGATGGGTCAATTTCAACCAGCCTTCCACAATCCTTCACAACAAGTCTCTCCAAAGTCAAGCATGTAGAGAAGTTAGGCGTCTTGATCAACCTTCTACAACTCACGAGATGCAGAACTTCTAACCTACAGTTTCCCTGTAAAATTATTCATACAAGTCAGACGTCATATTCACTATGCACAAAGAAAAAAAGTAATGTAAATTCCTAATATTGCATAATACCGTACCATGATTTGGCTCCATCCACCCCAATCAGTTGTAACGTCAGATTCCGAAATTTTGAGGACAACCAAATTGCTTGGGGAGAAGTTAGTAGCTTGAAAATTTGACGGACAATTTTGCCAAGATAGCCATCTTAACTCCAAAAGGAGATTTTGGAAGTCCCCAACAAAGTTTCCCCCATCGAATTCAAGGAACCTTAACTTTACCAGCTCCAAAATGTCTTCACGTGTAATGTTGCACACTTGAGATTGTCCCCCTAATTTGAGTGCCACTATTTTTTCTGTCCCCTAGTAAAGGAAATACAGCTAAATTAGCCCTATGCTTGACATAAAAAAAAAGGCTCATAAATTTAAAACAATATATTTTCTTTTTGTTGGTTAAAGAACGGAAAAAGGTGATCATCGTAACTATCTCTTTGACTCACAAGCCATATTACGCAGTCCATCCGTAAGTATATGAGCCCGTTACCACAACCCAACCAGCCTAGCAGAAGGCAAGAAATCTCTCACATGAGTTAGTAAATGCCCAAAGCACAAGCTGGTGAAAGGTTCGCTTACAACATGGCCGTATGACCCCTTTACCATTGAGCTACCACGCTCAGTTGTAAGTTAACATGGTACTGACCTATTATGTTTTCTAAACAAAATGAAAAGTAGAACTTTAGTCAATACATACCTCTTTTCTTTGTATAACATCCATGGCTACAGTGGAACTCCATATTCTACTACGCTCTCCAGGATGTTCGATGCTCTCCTTGCGAACTAGTTCCCTCCCTAAATCTCTGAGTTGGTCATGCATCCAAATGTCGTCAACTATAATTTGTATCAGAGACATTTTAACAAGCACTGAGATGGCTTCGTAGGGATAAAAATCACAAGCTCTCCACATAGAAATTGCATCGCTTCTTTTTTCACCAGCCATGTGACATGCAATGTCAAGGAATATTTCTTTCTGCTCATATGCCAACATGTCATAACTTACCTTCAATATGTCCCGAACTTCTTTGTGTGGCATTTTCTTCAACTTGGCTAATACATCATCCCATACTTCTTCGCTCTCGCAGCATAGTGAGGATCCGATAACCACAAGGGCCAACGGAA